TTTACGAACTATATAGATGTCTAAGCAATATACTGTATACTTGAAACTAATTAAAATAAATAAAAGAAAAAGAAGTTATGGTTCATATATACAATGAAATATTACTCAGCCATTAAAAAAAATGAAATCCTACCATTTGCAATGACATGGATGGACCTAGAGGTTATTATGCTGAGTGAAATAAGATAGAGAAAGATAAATACCATATGATTTCACTTATATGCAGAATCTAAGGAACAAAAGAACAAACTAATCAAAAACAGACTTACAAACATAGTGGACAATTTGGTGACAGCCAGAGGTGATGGGGGATTGGCAGGGAGGGTTGGGAGAATGGGGTAAAGGGTTAAAGTACAAATTAGTAGTTGATAGATGGTCACGGGTATGGGGACCATGTCATAGGGAATGTAGTTAGCATTAATATATTGGCTAGGTGGAAAACCAGAGGAGAGAAGGAGCACTTAGGGAGATCATTTCATAAACTATATTAATGTGTCTAACCAATGTACTGTATACTTGAAACTAATTAAAATAAATAAATTTTTAAAAATTGTTCCTGCTATACCCACATGCTATATGGTAACTGCATTAAACTGGAAATTCCAATAGAACTGTATTAATACAATGGAAAAACAGGCACACACACAAAAACAGGTGCACAGGGGGCATTATTTGTTTCTTAAAACTACTTTTCCATCAAACTGTTCTGAAATCAAAATTTTAATTTGTCAGACAGTATGTACTACCCTGAAAATTATTCACTTGGTTTATTTTATATTATTTCTCTCACACACATACATACATATAAATAATGTATTGGCGAAAACATTTTGTGCCTGGGCTGACAATATAAAGTTCTAAAAAAATAGTTTAGGTTTCTATCAAGAGCTAATAATTTTTTAACCCATTTCCCATTTCGAAAAAAAAAAAAGTGTAGCTCCTTGCCAGCATTAATTTAATTTTACATAAACATGCTCTTTGAGGCTGAAGCAAATCTGATTGGTTTTCAATGTGAAAATAGAATAGGAAAATTGTTCTTGGAGTTATTTCTAAACAGGACTTGTCTCTAATCCTAATGTAACAGAAATGTATACATAGATCAGATTCATCAAATGAATCTTTGGCTAACAATTGAGAACAATTGTTAGCATCACTCTTAGGAATGCTTCGTTCTCTAGAATTTGGTATTTTCCGCAATCGAGAATTACTATATTCTGAAAATGGAAATACCACTACTAAAAACAGAACGATGTCATTTGTTTCCAAAAACTATTCATATCCTAGAGCGATGCGAAAATAATAATAAAAGCAAGATATTTTGTGGCAAACTTTGGGGATAAGGTTAGGACTGTAATCCATGAGTTATCTTGGGGTAAACACTGTAGCTGCAAGCGCCGATGGAGATTATTCTCAGGGCAAATAAGAAATGTGTTAAAAATGTGCAAATATACTATTTGGAAAAAAATGTACACTAATTTTAATGTGCTATTTACTATATCATACTAAAAATGATAATCCTTCCTGACAACTGGAGGACTATCCCAAGACATGATAAAAATGGCATCAGAATCAATATCATCTATCACTATCCAATAAGTTTTGTCATTTTTTTTCCTTAAATATAAAATGCTGATCCTGAAGTTCATAGTAATAAAATCATTACTTCTAAGATGTATATTACTGTGAAATTCCTTTTCTAAATCTGTTATTCAGCCTAAAAATAGTAAGAAAAAATGAAAACTTCCCCTGAAACATTGCTTGTACAATCAATTCTAATAACTGGTTCACACTAACAAACTAGGAAAATAGTAAGTCTACATAGTTTGTATAATAAATGTGAACACAAAATATTTCAATACATAAATAAAACTTTACACCTCTAAAATACAATACATATAGAAAATATATCTCTAAAATTTAATGGTACTACAAACTACTATAATTTCATTATAAATTATACATATTTCAATATAGAAATATATTTGCTCTAACATTTTAAATTTCACTTGCATGGTGGTATTGTGAAGAGTAATTTTATATGCCAAGCTTTTCAGTAGAACATTGTCATTAGTAATTCAATGTAAGGGTATGACTGTGATAAGATGAACAATTTCTTAAGGCAAAAGTACTATTTTATGGAATGTAAAGATAAACATAGGGTTCCATTTCTGTATTGGCAGTTAATACCAAAAATAAATGGCGAGATAACATATTTTCGATATCCTTGAACATCAACTCTGTAGAATGGTTTGGGGCAAACTGAGGGGTTTCTATAAAGGCAAATTATTAGGTTACCATCCCATTTCATTATTTATGAAAATTACTTTAGAAGCACTCTCCCAAAGTAAAAATGTATTTTAATGTGTCTCAAAAATTAATATGCTACTTTTCAATATTTCAAAGTGTGTATGATAAATATCCCCTTCGGACACTTTAAAACATAGTCTTTATGCACACACACACATAAAATTGGACAAACTAATAACTTAGGGGTAATGGAAAGCAATTGAAGACATTTATTCCCTACTCAAAGGAAAAATTTGAGGAAAAATTTGAGGAAAAATTTATGAAAAGAAAAAGGCAATATTACAATGATCTTTATGATGATGATGTTTAAGAATACTTTACTAGATGAGGGCAAAAAGGGTAGGTGTTCAATATTTAATAACATACCAGTGTTTGCCTATTTTACAATTTTGCCCAGCTATATCAATTATTTAAGTAACTGAGCTATTTAATGAGAAGCTTTAGATAATTTTAAAGTGACTTGAGAAAATCTATTCTTTCTGAAAGTTGCTATGTAGTTTTTTTATCTATTACTAGGTTGGGGGATTTCTAAAGTCCTTGTGTAATTTCTTATTCTCTTCAAATTTGTATAATCTTTCCAGTAATGAGAATATAGTGAGTTAAAATCTCTCAGAATTGTATTAACTTTTAGAAAGTATATTTTTTCTGCAGCTAATAAGGAAATTATTTTACAAATATAAATATAAATTAATCTGCCATTAACATCTCATACTCATATATCCCACACCACGTAATCACTTTAACAAAGCATTTTGGTTTCAAAATTTATCTTCTAAATAAAGCCTCTGATTTCGAGGGTAAATATACAGTCTGATTAGAATGTTTAAACATATTAAATATGTACAGTATATAACAACTTAATTGCTACTGATCCTCTGACACTTATTTTCTGTTTCCTCTTTTTGGGCTCTTTGTTCTTCTCGGTGGTTAGCTGCAGTCCAAAATGTTATTTTTTTGAGGACTTGTTGCAGAAGTTTAGGAGGTAATAAAGATATCTGACTTTCTAAAATTATAGCATTTTTACCAATGCAGTCAAGGCATGACCTGTAAAAAATAACAGAATTAGATTTTAAGTTGTAATATAAAATATATACAGGTAAGTATTCTTAAAAATAAAAATCATTATAAAATTTTTACATGATGATATAATTCCTTTGTATTGTTTGGAACATGACAGGGTATATATTCTATCCAGAGCATTACAATACTTGTCTATTTTTATAGCATATCTGACCCAAATCCAAGGGAAACAGAAATTACAACTTACCATGATAATGTTCTTTAAGTAAAAAAGATTCAGATTTAGTTTCAAAGCACGTTAATCAGTAGCAGACCCTTTTTCACATATCTTTGCAGACTAATAACCATTTACTCTTCTCTGAGAACTGTCTTTTTATTTCATCACTCCAAGATGAAGCATCTGAAATTCATTTTTACATCACGTGACCTGGTCCTCCCCATACCCTCTTTATCAGTGACTGCACTGGGGTGCACACCTGACTCAAGTTGACCCAGAGAGAGGAAGACTGAAGAGAGGAATGGAGCAGTAATACAGAAAGAGCCAACAAGGAACTATCTGAGGTTCCTGCTTCTGGGGGCCTGGTCTTCATTTTTTTCTCTTTGATTCCACTAGAAAGCAGTGTGCTTCGAAATATAATTCTCTTTTTATCTTAAGCTACCTTGAAGAGGGTTTTGTATTTCAAAAACAAAAGGAACTTAAGACAAGACCTATCAAAAAAGCACCTATTTCAACTGATAAACTTTAATTCAAAAACGTAAGTAAATCTTTTTTAAAAGTTTTGAAAATAAATTCATTAGATTCTGCTGTGGTTAACCTCGGTTGTCATTTTTACAAGGATTTACACTCTAGACATTTATATATTCTTCCATACTTTCATGAAGCTTTTTCTCTCTGCTCTGTGAAAACTCTAAGAAGAGTGAAAATGTTCCACGCAGATACAGAAGGAGTACAAGAAAATGAATCTTACATCTGGTGCAGATTTAACTGCTGCTATGGAGACACAGTAGCTCCTGTGCCCGCTTCTACAAAATGAGAAGGGAAGAGTAAGACAAAGAGATGGACTCTGTCATTACCTTTCATTCACTGATTGAACAAATATTTATTAGTGTGCACTGCATGTTAGGTACTAGCTTAGGAGTAGGAAAACCAACATTTAGAAAAACAATTTCAACCTTCAAGATTACAATTGAGTAAAGAAGATAAATAATTAACAACAAAGTGTTTTAAATGTTGTGACTGGGTGATATGAAATTCCCATAATAGTTATAGGGTTCTGTGGGAATCAGATAAGAAGAGTAATGAAGACAAATTTAGCAAGCCAGGAAGTTTCCGGGTGGGCGATCCAAGCTGAGACCGTGAGATACTCAACAAATTAAATATACCAAGGTGTTCCAGATAGAGGAACCACACCTACAAAGCCCTAGAGATGAGAAATAAGATTTATTACAGAAACACAATTTGGTGGTTCAAATATAACTCAAGGGCAGATTGTTAGAGTGGGGGCAAGGCAAGAAATGAAGTAAAGAGATAAGTGGAGGCCCTGAACACCATGGTGAGGAATGTGCAGTTTGTCTAGGACAGTGGGAGCCACTGAAGAGTCATCTCAATACAGAATGTGCATATGCTTTGATCCAAAAAATATTTCTTCTATATGTAAGTTTTCCAAAGGAATATATGAGAGTATTACATACATAATATTTACAATGACCAAGAATTGTAGATATACTAAATATATATAAATAAATTGTACTTCCATGAAATACAACACTATATAGCCATGACAAACATAATATAGATCTATTACACTGAAAGACTGCATATTTACATGAAAGACAACCATAATATGAGTTTTAAAATCAGATTATAAAATAGCATGCATAGTTTTTATACACCGATGATGAACTTTCAGAAAGAGAAATTAAGAAAACAATCTCATTTACAATTGTGTCGAAAACTATAAAACATCTGAGAATCAAATTAACCAGGAAGGTAAAAGACCTGTTTCCAAAAAACTATAAATAATTGAAAAAAGAAATTGAACAAGATAAAAATAAATGGAAGCATATACCGTGTTCATGGGTAAGAAGAATCAGTATCGTTAAAATAGCCATACTACCCAATCTATAGATTCAGTGCAATCCCTATCAAAATACTAATGACATTTTTCAGAGAGCTAGAACAAATAATCTTAAAATTTATATGGAGTCATAAAAAAACCCCGAATAGCCAGGGCAATCTTGAGAAAGGAGAACAAAGTTGGAGGTATCACACTACCTGATATCAAACTATATTACAAGGCTACAGTAATCAAAACAGCATGGCACTGGCAAAAAAAAACAGATATATTGATCAATGGAACAGACTAGAGCCCAGAAATAAATCCACGCCTAGATGCTCACTTAATATATGACAAAGGAAATAAGAATATACATTGGGGTAAAGACAGTCTCTTCAATAAATGGTATTGGGAAAACTGGGCAGATACATGCAAAAAAAAGAAGCTAGACCATCTTCTTACACCATATACAAGAATAGACTCAAAATGGATTAAAGGCTTAAATATAAGACCCGAAACCATAAAACTTCTAGAAGAAAACATAGGCAGTAAACTCTCTGATATTACTAACAGGAATTTCTTTTCAGATATGTCTCCTCGAGCAACAAAAGAAAAACAAATGAGACTACATCAAACTAAAAAGTTTTTGTACAGCAAAGGAAACCATCAACAAAACAAAAAGACAACCAACTGATTGTTAAAATAAAAGTGCTAATGATACATCTGATAAGGGGTTAATATCCAAGATATATAAAGAACTTATACAACTCAACAAAAAAACCAAACAATCCAATTAAAAAATGGGCAGACAACAAAACATGAAAAGATGCTCAACATCGCTAGCTATCAGGGAAATGCAAATCAAAGAGATAATGAGATACAATCTCACACTGGTAAGAATAGCTATAATCAACAGGACAAGTAATAACAAACGTTAGAGAGGATGCGGAGAAAAAGGAACCCTCATACACTGCTGGTGGGACTGCAAATTGGTACAGCCACTATGGAAAACAATATGGAGGTTCCTCAAAAAACTAAGAATTGATCTACCATATGATCCAGCAATCCCTCTACTGGGTATTTACCCCAAAGACTTGAAAACTCATATCCAAAAAGATATTTGCATACCGATGTTCATAGCAGCATTATTCATGGTGGCCAGGACATGGAAGCAACAGGTGTCCCATGACAGATGATTGGCTAAAGAAGCTGTGGTACATATATACAATGGAATATTACTCAGCCATAAGGAAAGATGAAATACTGCCATTTGTGACAACATGGATGG